AAATTGATGGTGAACTAATAGTAAATTGATGGTGAACTAATAGTAAATTGATGGTGAACTAATAGTAAATAGTAAACTAATGGTGAATTGATGGTGAACTAATAGTAAATAGTAAACTAATAGTAGATTAATGGTGAACCGATGGTAACTAATGGTAAACCAATGGTAAACTAATGGTGGAGGTGATTAATTGATAGTATCATGATCATATTATGGCATAATATGATTGTTGCATGATAGTTGTATGATGGTTTATAATTTACATGAGATTACTCGATTCATCGGTTTATCAAAGCCAATCATCACCTTTTCTGTCCTCACAATTTTGGGTCCCAGTACTAACGACCTTTCTATTTAAATAGGATGGGTAAAGAATGCCGATGGTTATGGTACTTATCATCCTTACGGACTGAGGGTTCAAAAAAGATTCGAAGATGAAGGTTTAGATGTTGAGGTATATTTCTTTCTTTCTTTCTTTCATTTGTAAATTTCTATCTTTAATCATTATGATTGTTATTAAAATGTCAATTCATCAAATCATTATGTGAACTTAGGTTACTGTTAGTGGTGTTCCCGGTGAATGTGTTGTCCAATCTATGGAAGAAAGACTAAAGCATGAATTAGAACAACCGGGTAAATGGTATGACTGGGTCGTCATCCTAGGAGGTAATTATAAAATTTCATCCATCCATTCATTCATTCATTTATTTAATTTATTTGTTATTCATTTAGTTTTACACATTTTTAAATTTTCTTTAATTATTTGTCTTTTAGGAACAAATGATGTGATCAATGGATATTCTGCATGGGATATCTTTGATGGTTTAAAAAAATTATATACATTATGTTCAAAACACGGTGCTAGAGTATTGGGAGTAACGATTCCTGAATTTGAATGGGTAATTAATTACATCCTATTAATATTTTATTAATATCTATTAATATCTATTAATATCTATTAATGCCTATTAATACCTATTAATACCTATTAATATTTATTAATATTTATTAATATCTGCTTTTTATACCTATTTCTCTGAATTAATTTCTCTAAACCTCGTTATCATTAAATTTTAGGATCTTGTAAATCATCTTGATTATCAGCGTCGTATAGTAAACGAACACCTAAAGTATGTCACATGATAATTCTTTATTGTCACGTTTAATTCTTTGCTTTTCATGTTTGTATACTAATATATATCTATATTATTTTAATTATTGTTCTTTAGCGTGTACAATAACAGCACCACAAGGAATGCATACACACTCTTCCTCCTTGACAAATTTTTCCCTATGCATTCTTTAACAACTGAACAGCGTAGAATTTTTTGGGATCATGATGGTATTCATCCCACAGAGGACGGTTATAGTTTAATGGGTGATATGGTATGTTGATTTTTCTATTTAATATATTTAATATATTTATTTAATATATTTAAAATATTTAAATATATTTAATATATTTAATATATTTAATATATTTAAAATATTTAAATATATTTAATATTAATATATTTAAAATATTTAAATATATTTAAAATATTTAATATATTTAAAATATTGAAATATATTTAATATCATGCTTAACTTAACTAATCAATATTATAATATTATAATACAGATTTTCGACATACTTATCAAGGAAGGTTCATGGGATTAATGTAATTATTCCCCAAATATTATAATTTGAGCAAAATGATCTCTGTTCTTTATATTATTTGCTCGTAATAAGGCCTTTTTCTTTTTTCTTTATAATTATAAAATTGAATCTTTGTTTTATATATCAAGTTTATTTTCCTTAATTACACTATCACAAGTTCACTCCTCCCTTACGTAAAACGACAATGATTTGATTTGACATCAAACAAAAATAAGGGAGTTCCCTTCCTTCACCCTCAAACAACACTTCGCTAATGGGATGGATTTTTTTGATTACCATGATAAGAAAAAAATAATTATCTTGGGTTTTTATATTTATTGTGGGTTATTGGGGTTTTATTTTTTTCAAACTTGTGGATCAAAATTATTATTCGTTATCCCATTTTTTTTTCGTTCTCAATTTTACGCACAAGACTACAAAATTCGGAGGAATATTCATAGTACACACGTTTTAGTCGATTTAGTCGATTTTGTCGATTTTGTTTCGTTTATTGCAAGCAAAAAAATTTGGTTTCAAGATTTGGTAAAGGGTTTGAAGAAACGTTTAGGTTTGAGAACCCTTTTTCTACCTTGACTTCTTTTTTTTGTTTAAACAAAAATTCATTTGAACATATATGCGATATTATTTTATAACTTATGATGCATACAAAAAATTCTTTTAATAATTTTCAAAATCCTTAATTAAATCTATTTTCGTTTTTTAATTATTTTGTTCAAAGTCCTTTTTTATTGTATTTAATAGATTCCTTTCTTTTTATTATTAAAAAAAATTATTCAATTTGTTTTTTCTTTCGATATCTCCTGGTTAAAATATATATTTTACAATCTTTATTAAAAAAAAAACGTCAAGCAAGAATTTTATCCAACATATATAGTTTGTTACAGGAGACATTTTCGAAAAGGAAATAATGAACACAATTGATGTATTTTTTTTCATGTATTTTAATGAGCGCAAGGATTAATATGGAAGGATAAAGTCAACATTTTCTATAACAAAAACAATTAAAGACTTTTTGGATTGTAAAGAATTTGGGAGGGTTGAAAGAATTTTTTTAGTATGCCATCATTATATGAATTACACATGCTTTATTTTTTTTTTCTTGTATATAGTTTTTTCAAAAATTTCATTAAAGAAACTTCATCTCCCTTTGTTTATATTTATTGTTTTTATTGTTTGTTTTCGATCAGTTTCTCGTTTTTGTTGTTTGTTTTTTTCTTCACTTATTCTTTCTCCAATACTT